ATTGCCCTGTAATTGCAAAAAGAAATAAACAAATTAAAATTAAGAATATTTTTGGAAAATAATATGAAAATAGTATGGCAACTGTATAGACGAATACAACTATGTATATAGAGCAGGGGTCGGCACAAAGAGAGCAAAACACCTTTTAATAGATATAGCTTTACTTGTTGCAATGAGTTATTCTCTTATGCAAATAGCCGATAGCATTTGGCTAAGGCTGTCGACCACTGCTTTAGAGTATATGTTATTTCTCAACAAATGTATTCTCTTTTCCTATTTACCATTTGTATCTGTATTTAAAATTTAAATTGCTAAAATTTAACAAAAACTACCTTATAAAGTATGACATCTTATTGCACAGACATTATTTAAACAGTTAGAGTTTAGTTAAAGACTTTAAGCCAAAAAAAAAACTGAACCAGACAAACAGTCTAAACCATCTAGTACAAGTTAACAACAAGTTCCGTCAGTATGCTTTTTGTCCAAATTAAGTTGTTCGTATGAGGTTTTTTCTCATTTCTTTCTTATTTTTGGACTTTTTCTGTGTTTGCAAAAAAAAACCTAATCAGATTTGTTAACAATAATCGATTGGTTTAAGGAAATATGTACGTTTTTCGTTAATGTTTTTAAATATACTGTGGGAAAATGGAAATGTTTTAAATGAGGTTACAATAAAAAAGAGCCTAAAAGGTAGAGAAGGATTAGATATAAAAGTTTAAGTTTCAATTCGTTTTTTTCTTCCCGAAATAACCAAAAGAAAAGAACTTTCTAATAAGAGATAGAGTTGTAATCGTTCAAAAAATTCTATTATTTATTTAAAATCGACAAAATTTGAAAAGGTCGAGTTCAAGTAAGAAGTTTGTGAAGGCTTGAGACGTGGTGAATCCGACTATGATTTCCTCCATCACATCTGGGATTTGAGATATCGTGTCCTGAAAATTTAAAAACACAATTTTTATGACATCTACCTGTTTTTATAAAATGTTGTAAGCCATCTGAAAGTCTATTCTGTCAACTTTAAAATAAAGGCCTAATATTTGACATATCTTCTCCTTTCCATTCCAGATGTGATGGAGGAATTCAGATTCAGATTCAGCGCGGCTCCAAAGGATACTTTGGTCATTAGGTTAAACATTTGTCGGCCTGCCTATCTATCTATCTATCTATCTATCTATCTATCTATCTATCTATCTATCTATCTATCTATCTATCTCTATCTATCTACCTATCTACCTACCTATCTATATCTATCTATATCTATCTATCTATCTATCTATCTATCTATCTATCTATCTATCTATCTATCTATCTATCTATCTATCTATCTATCTATCTATCTATCTATCTATCTATCTATCTATCGATCTATCGATCTATCGATCTATCTATCTATCTATCTATCTATCTATCTATCTATCTATCTATCTATCTATCTATCTATCTATCTATCTATCTATCTATCTATCTATCTATCTATCTATCTATCTATCTATCTATCTATCTATCTATCTATCTATCTATCTATCTATCTATCTATCTATCTATCTATCTATCTCTATCTATCTATCTATCTATCTATCTATCTATATATATATCTATCTATCTATCTATCTATCTACCTATCTATCTATCTACCTATCTACCTACCTATCTATCTATCTATCTATCTATCTATCTATCTATCTATCTATCTATCTATCTATCTATCTATCTATCTATCTATCTATCTATCTATCTATCTATCTATCTATCTATCTATCTATCTATCTATCTATCTATCTATCTATCTATCTATCTATCTATCTATCATCTATCTATCTATCTATCTATCTATCTATCTATCTATCTATCTATCTACTAGTTGGAGTTATGTCCTAATTCTTTTAAAAACTATTTTAAAAACCAAATTTTATAATAAACTGTAAAATTTGTTTAAGTATTCCTTTTTCTAGACATATTTGACTTTTATAGATATATAAATAACTGTCTGTCTGTCATACCCCACAAAAAAAACTAACAATTCGTAAACAATTTAAAATATTTGCGTGTTAAATAAAAATCATGAAAAATGATTTTTCTCCAACACATTTGAAAGCATTAATCAAAATATGTCTATGTCAAAGCAAAAACAACAATTTTCTAGTACAACTAAATAGTTTCTGGGCCTAAAAATGTCTTGGCCAATAACACTCGTACAAATTACTAAGCGGCGAAAAGACTTATGAAATCATTCTTAGTCATGATCTTTAAAAAAAAATATAAACAATAAAAATAGCCTTCGGGCATTTAAGTCAAAAAGTAACAAATTTAACAGCAAAATTATTATTAATTTAAGCGTGTGAAAACCTAGACATTTGCCGAAAGATTTTCTTTAACAAAAATATGAAAAACAAAAAATTATGAAATTTTTTTTAATTTATTATGGTTAACGAATTTTTAGCTAATCTTTAGTTTAATTAAAATTTTTTTCAAAGAACAAAATTTCCATACTTTTTTTTAA